GGTCCAACCGCAGTGAAGCCCCTCACGTCGATATGCCACGTGGACATGTTCGAGGACTATAACAACTGCCGCCCCACCCCCTACGCGCCTTCTTTCTTATCGTCGTCGCCATCGTTATCGGGGGGGCTCGAACCCAACCAATCAAGCCTCTGGCAATCCTCCGGACCCATTACGCTGGCGTCGTGGCCAAAAGTAATGCCGCAGGGTGCCAATTGAGGGATGTAGTTGGGGTGCTCGCCAAACGTGGGGTTCGCCTTCCCAAGCCTCTCGGTGACGGCTTTCGCTGCGCGGACGACGGATCGTCTATGGTCGAAGGAGCGATGCATGGACGCGACTAGTGTAGGCTTGGCCAGCAAGCTGACGGAGTAGAACGCCTCGTAGTGGCTGCGGAAGTCGTCTCCTGCCATGCACATTATCCACATTGCCGCCGCCAACAGAAGTCAGAAGCAGTCAGCCACCCGACAAAGATGGTCGTAGGAGATAAAATCGCTGTCAATGTGCGCTCCCATCTGCACCGCCGCGCGGAATGCTTGGGCGATGCAGATGACGGTCGACTCCTGGTACGCCGCCATGTCGTCATCGTCGGGTCTGTCATCGATGTGGGCGCCGGCAAACCACAATGGCAAGTCCATGTTGAGATCTATCCTGTGGCCGCAGATGGGCGCGCTGACGACGTTGGACCTGTCCTCGGCGTACCACATAGCACGCGCGATGTCCGTCGCTAAGGACTCCAATGCATAGTGGTAAGCCAGGTTGTACCCCCTTGCGCGTTTGCCGGACTTGAAAACCCAGCCATGCAGGACGCGCAAAGCCACGTTCTCCACTTTCGCCGCACGGTAGATCGCTTGCTACAGCTGCGATGGGTCCGAGATCCTGGCTACCCTAGTGCTCGACTTCGGGAGGATGACATTGCGAGAGACGGCAGTCGCTAGAAGGCTGCTGGCGATGGCGACGAAGTATTCCCTCGTCTCGTGGATGATGTTGTACAATCTTCACCCCTCCCCCGTCATCCAGAATGCTTTGTCATCCACCCATGGCAGGGCGCGATCGACGAGCTCTCTGCTCATGGTTTCCTTGCGCACCCGGCTTGGACCAACATCGCCGCCCTCCCGCTCGGTTGTCTTCTCGCCACGCGCATCCTCTCTCGCCGTCGCCGCAGCTGCTGCCTCCTCTCTCACCGTCGGCACGGGGGCCGAGTTCACTGTGGCAGTCCCGCCCGCAGCACCTGCCGCCTCGCCCTCGATTGCGCGTCACTCTGGCACGACTTCCTTTTCCGGGAGGCGTGTAGTCATCAACGGGGCTGTGGAATCTTGTGCAAGATTGCGCTGGCGACATCTTTCCAACGTCTCGTCATCATCGCCTTCCGCCATGACGACAGCAGCCTTGTCTTTCCTTGCATCACGGCCACGTGCCTGCTGCGCCTCGGGTGGAGGGGAGAGCATCCTCTTCGACGCGCTTTGATCAAAAGCTCGTTGACGAGCGCTTTGTCGCACCGTCGATGCCGTCGCCTCCGCCTGCGGTTCCTCCATCTCGAAGTCGTCGTCAGACTCCATTTCCGCTGCGGCCGCCCAACCTTCGGAACCACGAGCAGGCACGTTTCCTGACGCTTCACCGGAGCGCACCTTCTTCGATTTCGGGATATGGCGCCGACCTTTCGCCTGCGAAAGCCCGACGGTGGCTGCGGCATCGCGCTTCATGCCACGGGCGCTCCCTCGCGTCGACATGCTGGCCGCGAATCTGTGGTGATAACCTTCTGCCCCTCCTTTCAACACTTGGAAGCGCTTCGCCGACCACCGTTCCTATCTCCCCGCGATGTGCTGTGGCACGGCGACGACGAGGAAGAATCCTCAACGGCAGGGCAGAAGACGACGACGCAGACGTGCAGGGTAGAAGGACGATGACCCCGCTGACGCAGAAGAACCGTCCTTCGGCGACGCTTTACGGCGAGAAGATTTACGGTGGGAAGGGTTGGAACGGCGGCGAGAAGCTTCACGACGAGAAGCTTTACGGCGAGAAGCTTTACGGCGAGAAGGGCCACGTAGCACGGCGAGATTGCTCCGCGGTGAGAAGCTTTACGGCGAGAAGGGCGACGTAGCGCGGCGAGATTGCTCCACGGCGAGAAGCTTTACGGCGAGAAGGGCGACGTAGCGCGGCGAGATTGCTCCGCGGCGAGAAGCTTTACGGCGAGAAGCTTTACGGCGAGAAGCTTTACGGCGAGAAGGGCGACGTAGCGCGGAGAGATTGCTCCGCGGCGAGAAGCTTTACGGCGAGAAGGGTGACGTAGCGCGGCGAGATTGCTCCGCGGCGAGAAGCTTTACGGCGGTGGTCTGCAGGCGCGGCGGTGAGTGTGACCCGCTCCGAGAAGAATGACGACCGCTCTCCACGTCTCCAGATGGCTACAAAGGCGGAGCCTGCGCGGCGGGCTTCTGTGCGGGAAACACCCTCCAGACACGGTGCAGTGCGCGCAGCAAGAGGAATACAAGAGCCATGGCGAAGCAGGCGCTGCCGGCTTCTGTACAAGAAACACCCTCCTGCGGACTGCATTTATGCGGGTTGGGTTGCGCAGGAGTGGACACTCCTTCCGCACACGGAGCGGCCACAATGTCATTTCCGCACAGTGGAAAAAGGCGTCGTCGACGGTGACACGTGATTTCGCCTTCTCTGTCTTGGCGTGTCGTATCCTCCAACAACCGCGAAAGTGTACAGCTCCACACCCTTTGCGAACAAAACAAAGGGAACCCCCCTTCGCCCCCACACACCCCATAACCCCTGCGCCCCCACGCCCCCATCTTCCTCGAAAGTAGAGCCCCCTGGCAAACTACCGCCCTCACCCCCTCCCCCCCGCCCCCCCCTGTAGACGAAGCAGTCTCGTCATGTGAAAGATGAGAAAAAAAAAAATTAAAAGAATTACACACACACACACACACACACACACACACACACACAAACACACAGACACACACTTTTTCATCAATACAACGACTGACGCCACGAAATGCGGCAAATCCAGCGTAGATTGTTCCCCTCATCAGTGGCAACCATTTCGCAAGCAGAATCATATCGTGCAGTCTGCCTCCATCATCTTGTGCAGAAGAAACCGACATATATAAAAAAAAAAAAATAACAAAACAAAAAAACAAAGTTCATGGCTACACCGACCGCAATGGCAGCAACCTAATCGAGAAACAATTCGATGGGCTACATCCTCGAACGACCACGGATGGCGGCAGCGATCTCCAGAAGTGCGTGACACATCATCCTCTGCGTCTCGTCGGACGCCGCATAGTGCGCTTTTGGACCGCTACTTCCTGCGCGAGTATGTCGCATTGCCGTTCTTGTATGTCGCACTGCCTCGATGAAATGCTGCATGCTGTTTGCTGGACGATTCAATCATCGACGACATCAGTTTGCCATGGCGGTCCATGACATCAGCGATGGACTCCAGCGCCTGTTGGCGCGCATTCTTACGCTTTCCGCCTCCGGCAACACTACAAGCATTCACGTCGGAGTTCCTTGCAGAAGATCTTTCTTCAGGGCAGCCGTCACCACCGCCCTCACTTTCAACAGACTCCCCACCACCCGCTCCTCTCCTGGGCAGCTGCACCCTGTCCAGACTGCCGGTGTCGGCAATGTTGGGAGGGAAAATAGTATGGTTCCCCAACATGCCGGAGTGGATCTCGTTGTACAGCACCCTTTCCATCCGGAACTTTAAGTTGTGCTCCTTCCTTTCGTCATTGGACAACTTGAAGAAATCTGGCCGCCCGCTCGCGTTCTGAAACCTCTGTATCTTCTTGTAGTTTTGGAACAAATTGTCCCATTTCTTCATGCAGTCGTCTGCATCTTTAGGGCTCCCACCGTTCGCCATGCGCTTCGCAATGTGGACCCACTTCCACTCCTTTGTCCGCATCCGGCTGTTATTGTGGCCCAGCCCAGCGAGGTGCATCTCCTGCTCCCGCTTGCATCTGACGAGGAGCATCTGCTCGTCCGTCGACCAGTACGTCGCAGACTTCCCTCCGTCGTCGGTGACGCCACCTTTGCCGCCACGGATCGACCATGACCACCACGGTTGCTGCGTCCAATACCCCTCCAACCCGTCTTCCCCACAGGCCGAACAGCATTGTCGTCGTCGTCGTCCCCCGCTTCGACTTCCTCCCTGAATCTGTCGTCGGCATCGTCACCGCCACAGCCATCATCGTCGCCGCCATCGCTGTGTGCCCGCATGTTCGACAAGCCTCGAGTGATGTTCTCCACACTAGCTCCTGAACCCGCCGGTGGTCTGCAGGCGCCCTCGTCCCTCCCTTCGGTTCAGCATTGACGAGCGTGCACCGCTGGTGCGCAGGGACGGTGCTGCGGCAGCAATGCGCACGTCCCAGTTATCTGTCAATCATTCCCTGGACGGCGTACTCGATACATGCTGCCAGGCTGCTGGTGAAGACCCGACACCGCCAACGACGGACGCGCCGCCACATACTGTGGAAGGTCCCGTCTACTCCCTTCAAGGCTGCTGCAGGCCACGTGCGGAAGCATGGGCGGCGGTGATGACCGTGCGGCCCGCCTCCCTGGCACCGCTAGATTTCAAGCCGAACCGGAGATCAACTCCCCCGTCGTCGTCGTCTCCCAACCCTTGCTGCAGGAGTGACATGTACTCGCCTCGTTCGTTGCTCGCCGACCCGCCTATGAGCACCGTCTGCGACAACAGCTGCGTCGACCCGCTGGCGAGAGGAAACGTTGGAAGTTCATCCCCCTCCGGCTCCTCATCCGAGGGAGGCAGCGGCGTCTCTCACGACGGCAGATGGTTGTACATGGACGGGTCGTACCGTCGTGAAGGCTCCCTCGTCGCAGGTCTTTTTTCAGCCTTAGCTGCAGGCAGAATAGTGCGTGCCTTCATGCCCGTCATGGGACGTTCCTCTTAAAGCACAGCGCGTTTCGTCGACGCCCTGCGCTTTCGACGTTGCTTCCACGGCCGGCACGACAAGCACACGTGGAGGAAGACGACAAAGAGGAAGATGACCACGACGAGCAGCAGCAGAAGCAATCTCCTTCGCAAATCTGCCATGTATTCGACGTCAACAGGCGACCTTGCATGTGACGTCCTGCAAAACTTTCTCCTTGCACGCCCGCGGACAAGGCCGCTGGACCTTCATATGTCGTCGACCGCTAGCGAAGACGACAAACGTTGGTGCCTCCGATTCAAAAACTGACCGTTGGCGTCCACGCCGCCTCCGTGTGTCATCGTGCAGACGTCTGGGAACTCCTCCGTTGCCTGCACCCGAGCCAACGGTCTGCAACGGCCGCCCGCCTGGCCACGCTTCGCCCCGCCTGCTCCACCCCACCGTCCAACGGCTACCGGTGGAGGCCGTTGCCGTCGTCGACCGCCAGAAAACCTCCGATGTCCGCCCACCGGCCCGATGGACCTCTCCTGGACCAGCTCCTCCGTGTCGACGGTGCCATTCTCACGATGCGAGGACTCCGTGAAACGCGGGAATCCTAAATTTTTCAGTAGGTCTGGGGCTACTGGAAAATTTAGGATGATTTGGCTGGGGAGTCCTAAATCTTTTAGGACGAGTCCTAACGCCGTTTTCACATTTTCGATTCCCACGTCCCATTTAGGATTGCGTGCAACCAAGACGCAATCCTAAAAACAGGAACTTTTAGGAGTGTCTAACGAGCCCCTAAGAAAACAAAGAAACCAATCTCAAAGAAGAAGGAAAAAAAGAAACAAGAATTTGGCGCTAAAATTAGTTAGATACATTTGTCCGTATACCCTCAACCAGGGCTGTTCGGTAGATCACTGCATATGCCCTGCCTCGCTGGCAGGGGAATCTAAGAAAAGTGGGAAAAGACAAAAGTAGAAAAAAACGACATCCAGAATTTAAGGGCCTCGCCGCACCACTGTCGAAAATGCAATTTTCCACAGTTTCTCTTCGCCACACAGGTTGTCAAAGTCGGAGACGGGAAAAAAATTATCCAGTTGTCAGAGCATGTTTCTCGACAGCGCCTGTCGAAAGTTGTTGAATCCCCAGCCTGCTACTCCCATGCTTTCGACACTCCTCGGCTGCGCCGTCGACTTCTCTTCGAAATTCGGTGAGGGGGGGTAAGGTCAGGATGGACTAATGTTTGTCGTACCCTCTGGCCTGTTCATATTTTTCCATCTTGCATTCACAAGTGCGTGCACTCTACAGTGTTGTGTGGCTAAAGGGGGCAAACTGTCGAATGGAGGCTGTCGAATTTGTTCTGACAGCTCCCAAAGTTTTTCGCCTTTCGACTGTGGTGTGGAGAGGCCCTAACTGAAATACTACCTTCTTCCCCCGAATACAACCTACGTTCATTGTTGTTGTATTTAGACTGAAAGATACCCCAAATACAGCAATGATGATCGTACGTTGTATTCGGCGGAAGAAGTATTTAGATTGAAAGATACCCCAAATACAGGAATGATGATCGTACGTTGTATTTGGCGGAAGAAGGTAGTTAGAAGCATTCCACCAAGAACCTACGTGACCACGACCCCCGCCCAACTTTTTTTTTTTTTTTTTTTTTTTTTTTTCTTGTAAATGAGGCTAGGAACCTACTAGAAAAATCCAATTGGCCTAAGAATGGAATTTGGAAATTGAGATACCGGGGCCATTACCCGGCTTTGGCTCAAAGAATTAGACCTACTTCAGACATACCTATGACAACTCCATGATTCAGAAACGACTCAGAAGAACCCTCATCAATCCACTTTACCTCCCTCCGCCAAGACTGACTGCAGCGGAGCCACCATCTTTGCTGCTGCCATACCATACTTCCATCCTACCAGCTAGCCCCTTCACTGGTAGAACGCGTGATAACCCACCATCTTCTCCCACTTTTTTTTTTTTGGCTTCAGACATGTGATTTCATCATTTCAGAACCGGCTCAGAAGAACCCCCATCTATCCACTTTACCAAGTTTACCTCACTCCGGCAAGACAGACTGCAGCGGAGCCACCATCTCAGTTGTTGCTATACCATACTACCATCCTTCCAGCTAGCCCCCTCACTGGTAGGACGCGTGATAACCCACCATCTTTCCCACTCACCACTCCATGCTGTTGTGCAACAGTTCTGTCTTCGTCATCGAGAGGGAGGTCATGAAAGACCAACAAGTGCAACAGTCCTGTCTTCGTCATCGAAAGGGAGGTCCCGGGTACTTTCTAATGAAGTCGGCTGACCACGGACGGTACACATCGAGACTCCACTCAATGCCAATCGCATCCATTCTCAACCACCCCCATCAGAACCTCCTTCATCCTCCCCAACTCCGTCCTAGTAAAAGCTTTAAAAAACCATATCCTCAGCATGAGCCAGACACAATCCCCATCCAGCAATCTCCTGCCCCCTCAGGGATTCCAGTCTCCGTCATCGAGAGGGTAAGCTAGTGCTGCCTGAGGCCAATCACACCAGGATGATCCCTCATCAGCCGGTACCCATCCGACTATGTGACACCCGCGGCCTAGGCCGCGGGCATTTCGGTCGCTGCGGCTGAGATTCGCGGCCACAGCCGCGGCCAATGAGGCCTAGTATGCGGCCCGGTTTTTCACTATTTTTTTTCTCCCCCTGAAAATACGTAAAAAAAAAAAATTAAAAAAATGGGGGTGTAGGGCTTGAAAAACTAAAATGGATTTAAACAAAATTAAAAAAAAAAAAAATAAAGAAAAGCAGGAATTTTTTTTTGCCATTTTTTCTCATGAGATGTATGGTCCCTAAGTACACTTGTATTTTTTTTTCAATTGGATTTTTGTTTTTTGCAGGGAAATTAGGTGTTTAAAAAAAAAAAAGATGCAAACAAAAAAAAAAAGAAAAAAAAAAGAAGGCTTGATTGATTGATTGATTGATTGTGTGTGTGTGTGTGTGTATGTGTGTGTGTGTGTGTGTG